CCTGATCTTAACGAGTGTGAAACCAGAAATAACGGTGGGAGGATCGCTACGGACTAGAAACATGCTAGCACACTTCGGCTATGATGAGATCAAAGTAGTTCATGGAGAGGAGGAAGATCAGTCAGCTGGCAGGCTAATTGTACCGAAATTTCCTGATGTGACCAGGAGTGAAGAGCAAGGGCCCTCAAATTCAGGAAAGAACCTAGAACGAGATGATGGGCAGGGAGGAAGCCGTCTATTGGAAGAACCTATGCAACAGGATCCCGATCAAGCTGAGAAAGAAGACGATAAGGCTTCGACAGGAGGAATATCCAGCCTAGACTTCAATTTCAAACGGCGCGGACGCGTTGGAGGCGATGACTGAACCAGCAGACGAGGGTACTTCCACGCTGGAACCCCCGTCGGCCTTTATTGGAACGAACCGGAACTTGCCGGAGAGCGGCTCTCCGAGCAATTCTAAAATATCGAACAGAAACTCTTGATGGAATCACCAAAGAGAAGAAGAATAGAAGGCGCTGCCAGAATACCTTTCTTCGGAACTTTGCCCGAAGAAGAGTGGGAGGTGCATCATAGAGACCATGAAAATAGGACGGGATGCAGAATGGATAGAGTGGTCTTCACGGAAGAGGTCTGGACAGTAGTTCAGAGCTACGGAACCCAATCTATTTTGAAACTAGGTCTCAACCGACCACTAATGCGGGAAGCTCTTGACAAACTCGACGAGTGTGAAGTGAGATTGAGCGAGTTATTGATTGACTCGGCCACTGCCAAAAGTGAGTCAAACTCTCCTATCAAGATGACGCTGCAAGAAGACAAAGGAGAAGTGGTATTCTCATGGCAGGAACAAAATTAACCGGTTACAAAACCAAGAGGAGTGACCGCACTCTGACTGAAGCGACGTTAGAAATGGAGATACTCAGCCGATGAGTAGAGAGTACCATTAAAGACTTTAAACTGTCTCCCATGAATCACGGAAAGGGAAGCGTCGTAGGACAGCTAGTCACAGTAGAATATAATCGACTGACAGTGTCGGAAACTGTATCGATTGATGAACCCGCCGGTGGATACATGGAGATGTTAGAGTATATAAATTCGGCCAGAGGACACTTAATGGCTCTGAAGACAAAAGTGCCATGGAAGGTTATTTGGAGACAATGATGCAAGGCACCACCCTGTAGCAGAAGGCATACGGGACTCTGGTATCGTCTGAAATGCACGCAGAAACGATCGAGCAATTGGTGAGCCTTCCATGGAGAGCGGTAGCGTTACGATACTTCGAAGAAGAAATGAGAACAACGCCGAAGATACACGCTCTGAAAGCAATACCTTACCTGAGAACAGAGCTACAACTGAGGTTCGCTTGGTGCATGATTGGACTGACTCGCGGGGAATATGATTCGGAAGAAAGAAAAAGATCGAAAGAGGAAAAGGTGTTCTTAATGACGGCTGTGAGAGATCTGATGACCCAAGAAGGAGCAACATTAGCGTGCGCGAAGCGGAGAGACGCTCTCTGCTTCGTTCGATTTATGATAGAACAAATTTCAGTGCCAGGGAAGGCGATGAACGAACGAAAGCCTTGCTCTTGCTTGCACTTTTGGACAGATATCAGAGTAAGCCGATGCGAGTTAACATGAAGGAACCTGTGGAGCTGGAACCGATAAAAAAGATTGACGAAATAAGGAGATTCTCTAACAAGAAGATGAGGCTTACAAAAGAATCTATCCAGTGAATACTGTGGACCGATCAGGAAGAAATTATACAGTTACGTATCCGGAATCATAGGGATGGCGTACAACCCTTTCGTAAATGAAGACATACGCGATTGCTTCTTTGACTATGAGCGTTGCTAAGATTCTGGGCGTCAAGAATTGCAACGATAAGAAGCGCTGCTGATCATCAGACTAAGCTGTACTGGTGTTGGAAGAAAAGGTGACTGCACCTTCAGTGCCAAAATCTGACAACCGAGTGGAATTTGGATTGGGATTCTCGGACGAACTGCTAATAACTAGTCTAATGGTGGTGTGGGAACTGATCAAACCATCATGGTGTCCGAGTCCTAACGCCGATTCCATATTGCATGCAACACAAGACATGCAGAGGGAACTGAATTCAGACTGTAACTTGCATGACTTGAACATCATTTACAATTCGATGACGACAGCCTCTAAGAAGACAAAGTAGAGTTGCCTGGCTGGGGACCAGAGGACTGGGTTAAACTGGTAGCTGTCTGGCGGAAATCTGTGGATTGGAGGGTCACATCTGTGGAGGTCTGGATTGCGTAAAGACCCTGGAGAAGCAACACAGGCAATTGACGATATTGTATGGGAACATTGTGATGAAGGCGAAAATAGAAACGAAACTGATTGCAGATTGCCATGGAGGAACCGAGGTGAATCTAGTGACTGCACTAAAGTTCTACAGCATGTTTGGTTCTTTAGAGTTTTTATTGAACCTAGAATAAAGGCATGAGATGGTTACGACCATCAGTGTACAAGTGTTTCCGGGAGAGTTGCAGACTGAACAAAAGCACATAGGAAAGTGGAGGGAAGCAATCGAGGCGGAAATGAACATCCGGCACAGTGAAACTTATCGCAGACCGTCGGTAGCGCGATATTTGGTGGGATGTACATTAGCTCTAATGTGCAAGAGCAGATACCCAGTGCATTTCGTAGCGGTGGATGTGAAGAGTACGAGAACGATCGTGGATCAAGCCTTCTCAGTGCCGAAATGCGTAAAAATTTTAGAAAATTCTTATGAGTTACTGTGCAAAATAATCTCAGCAGTACCGGATGGAACCAAAGAGGAGTTAGAATCGATACTGGGAAAGAAGTTCATGGGATACGTAGTTGTTTTTACTGCGACTATTGTTGTTGTGTTTTCGCCGTTCCAGTGTGTGCAAAATAAAAAAAAGTTACGTGTCTCTTATGTCCAAATCGAAATTTTAAAAATTATGTGAATAAACGAAAACGCAATTTCGTATTCGAATTTTTATCGACCAGAAAAGAACATCTGACCTGGAAGATTAATTGTTTTAACGGATTAGCAACGTTATTTGAACGATTAAACAAACCGTGAAAGTCAAAATATTCTGGTGTTTTGAATTTTAATATTTCAAATTGTGACGTCACATTTCTGAGAAATGCTGAAACGGCCATTTTGGAGAAAAAAAACAGAATAAAAACAGAACAACAATAGTTGCAGTGAAAACAACTACGAAGAAATCACGAGAGATAGAATTAGCAATTGTGGAAACCGGTCCGAGTTGTAATGATTGCGCCGCTACTATCGTTACCGAGCAATTTACACGAATGCGGAAGGGTGTTGAGACGACGTGTCCAGCCTTCCCAAAAGAAATAAGGACGTTATTTCCCCGGATTTTAGAATCCGGAGGGGTCTCGGGATCAAGACTCAAAATGTTTTATATAAACTTTCAGCTTCCTGGTCAGCTTCAACTGAATTGAGTTTAATTGACATCCCGATTCATTTTTAAATAATAAGAAGCTAGGAGTTGACGGAAAGGGTTGATCCATCTTCGATGGAAATGATGATTTTTATCTACTGAACAAAAATCAATAGTAATATAAAAAATAGTAGTAGCCCTGTTTTTAGGAGTGACCTCGTGGTCTGGGGATACTGAGACCCAGCCATGAGCTCACTATTCTTGCATATAATTTAGTTAATTTGAGTGTTTTGACCGAAGCCAGAAACAGTAACGTTTTTGTCGACCCCATGTTAGGAAAACCACCAAAAGAACTGGCTTTGGCAGAGACGGTGAAAAGCATGTAGAGCTGTGTTTAGACGCTAGCCAGTAGTTTTAGAACCTAGCATTATTTTCGGTCGATCTGTACTTCCGGGTGAATGTTACCTTAGCATGTCAGTTAAAACTAACCCTTGCCGATTTGTCCAATTGTCCAAATAACGTCGCTAGTTCATCAAAATCATCAATCTTCCCAGTCAGATGTTCTTTTTTCTGATCGATAAAAATTCGATTGCGAAACTGCATTTTCGTACATTCTGGTCGAATGTCACAATTTTTATCTACCGAACAAAAACAATAGTAATAGAATAAATCGATATCTGAAAAAACGCGGAAGGGCGTTGAGACGACGTGTCCAGCCTTCCTAAAAGAAATAAGGACGTTATTTCCCCGGATTTCAGAATCCGGAGGGGTCTCGGGATCAACACTCAAAATGTTTTATATAAACTTTCAGTTTCCTGGTCATGTCCTGAATTGAATTTAACTGACATCCCGATTCATTTTTAGATAATGAGAAGCTAGGATTTGAGGGAAAGGGTTGATCCATCTTCGATGGAGATGATGATTTTTATCTACTTAACAAAAATTAATAGTAATATAAAAAATAGTAGTAGCCCTGTTTTTAGGAGTGACCTCGTGGTCTGGGGATACTGAGACCCAGCCATGAGCTCACTATTCTTGCATATAATTAAGTTAATATGAGTGTTTTGACCGAATCCAGAAGCAGTAATGTTCTTGTCGACCCGTTGTCAGGAAAACCACCAAAAGAACTTTGGCAGAGACGGTGAAAAGCATGTAGAGCGGTGTTTAGACGCTAGCCAGTCGTTTCAGAACCTAGCTTTATTTTCCGTCAATATGCATTTCCGGGCGAATGTTACCTTAGCATGTCAGTTAAAACTAACCCTTGCCGATTTGTCCAATCGTCCAAATAACGTCGCTAGTTCATTAAAATCATCAATCTTCCCAGTCAGATAATCTTTTTTCTGATCGATAAAAATTCGATTGCGAAACTGCATTTTCGTACATTCTAGTCGAATATCACAATTTTTATCTACCGAATGAAAACAATAGTAATATAATAAATAAGTAGTAGCCTTGTTTTTAGGAGTGACCTCGTGGTCTGGGGTTACTGAGACCCAGCCATGAGCTCACTTTTTTTGCATATAATTAAATTCCCAATTACCCTCAGAAAGCCACTTGTCAGATCTGTCTCTAAAATCCCTCAGCGCCCTTTTAGCCTAATTGTTGTGATAAACTTATTAAATAGATTTGTTATGTTTGATGTTTGTGCCTGTTTGTGGAGCGCCCTCTGAGGGATTTTAGAGACAGGTCTGTCAAGTGGCTTTCTGTGGGGAGGTGGGAAACTGGAACTGGCTTGAAGAGTCTGGTGGTGCACCGCTGGACCTACTGAGCTCGGGTGAGATTGTTCCTTGTTTTTGATTTTTATAATTCGATTTTTAAAATTTTGAATTAATTTAATTGTCTTTTATTTTTTTTATTTGCTGAATTATAAAATTCCCGCTAACCGCTTATCATGGGTTAGTTCAGTCCCCTAAAATCCAGTCAAAATCCTTTTTTTACCTTTATGCTGCGTCAAGATGAGGAAAAACAACAAAGAGTGTACAAGCAAAGATTGCTTAAAACCTTCAGGACTGATAAATTAGACTCGATGTGATTTTTGTTCTAGTTGGTATCATATCAGTTGTGTAAATATTTCTCTTAGCGACTCTAAAAAAACCCAATGGTTTCAGTGAGCTTTATGCCTTGATGTAAAATCTGTTAATAAAGCTACATTAGGTAATGATTTAGTGCTAGACAATTATGTTAAAACAGCCATCTCAAATGTCCGAGTACTCAAGAGAGTACCAAAAGACTCGCGTGTTCCCTTGGCGGAAAGTCTGTCGGAAAAAATAAATGACACCGTCTACAATGTAGAAGATGTTACAAAATGGCTAATTTTTTAAACGTCGTTCTTGTTTTTTTGGAGCAACCGAAAAGAAATGGACACAAACAGAAGCTCTTTGATAAATAAAAAATTCGAGCAAATGACGTGTCACTTCCAAAACCCAATCCCCAAGTTTCAAGTCCGCCTCTGAGTGACCTGGATCAGAGAATAAAGCTAATAAGTAGTAAGCTCGATGAAGGAAATGTAAAGGGAGGAATAAGGCTTGCTGCTTCGGATGACAAAATTGCTCCTTTTTCAATTGACAACTATCAAAAAAATTGTTGTCTAAGCACCCTCAGCGAGCCAAATTTGCAGCTCCAAATTCAGAAAATTTGGATAGTTTTTTTTGTAACCGACTTCGATCTATACAAAGCTATAATGTCCTTTCCGAACGGATCAGCAGCAGGCCCTGATAAAATAGTTCCTCAAATTTTTAAAGATCTTGTTGGTAAGTCGACTGGCAGTGCAAGACTTAATTTTCTGAAATCGCTTACTAAGCTGATAAACCTAATTGGAGATGGCAAAATACCTGAACCCCTAAGACCTTATCGCCCTCATAAAGATAGATGGAGGGTTGAGACCGATTGCCATAGGCAACACGCTGAGACGTATCGCGTCTAAATGCGCTGGAAGCAAGGCCCTCTCCGAGCGACAAAATTTTTTCGAAATCGTACAGGTAGGATGCGGTACCAAACGAGGAGCAGAAATAGCAACACACTCGTTTCGAAACTAAATTGAACGCGACGACAATCCAAAGTGCACTGTTCTTTTAAAACTAGATTTTAAGAATGCCTTTAACTCTCTAAACAGAGAAACAATGCTGAATCATGTTTATTCAAATCGCCCCGAATTGTATAATTACACCCATTGCGCGTATGATAAACCTAGTTACCTTTTTTACGGAAGCTCTGTCATAAGGTCAGAAGACGGAACTCAGCAAGGTGTTCTTGAAGCCACCCCCTTTTTTGCGGAAACAATTCATACACTAGTCAAACAGTTGGAGTCGAAAATTAACATTTAGTATTTAGATGATGGAAATTTAGCCGACGACTATAAGGTAGTACTCCGTGACCTTAAAAACTTTCTGAAATCGGAACAAATTTACGGCCTGAGCTTAAACCCTGAGATGTGCGAATTTTGTTTTTGAGACCGACTACTGGTACAAAGTATAATTCAATTTTAACACAATTTCGAAAAATATACCCCAAAATAAAAATAAAAACAAAAAAACAACTCCTCATTTTAGGATCTCCAATCGGCGAACTTTGCCGAAAAGATTGCTCGACGAAAAAATTATGGAGCTTGAAAAAATTTCGGGTGTCATTGACAAACTAGACGCCCATTATGGTTTTTACCTCCTGAAAAACTGCTTTAGCATGCCAAAACTCCTCTATTTTTTGCGTACGATTCCTTGTTTTTGGCAAAATGATTTTTTGGAATGCTACGACATATTACTAAGAAACTCTTTATGCAAAGTCACTAACGTGAAAATGGATGATAACCAGTTTTTAGAAGCAGTTCTCCCGGCAGCCAAAGGTGGCGTGGGCGTTTCTTCCGCTCGTCTACTCGCTTTACCCGCTTTCTTAGCCTCGGCAGTAGGAGCAAAAGATGCTTTGAGCGAAATCTTTGGTTTGGAGCATGTGGATGGAACCTATGATGATGCCCTTAAACGGTGCTTTAAACTTGGAAAAATTGAAATGGCTCCGGGAAATGAAATTCAAAAAATTGGACGGAGCCAATTTTTGACAGTCAAAATGCAGACTTGATTTTACGAATCGAACCAACGGACGTAAAGAGATTCAACGCGTTCCAAGATAGATTTGGCTCCCAATGGTTGAACGTCATCCCGTGCAAAAATTTAAGGTTAAAACTGTCAAACCATCATCTCAGATTTGCGATAGGACTTCGATTAGGCTCAAAAATATTGCTCGAGCATGGTTGGCATGATCTCTGCCTCAAAAGTGCAGAGAGATTCTCTAGGCATTCAAACCTGAATGCCCTTATAAAGCAGAGTTTATCTTCTACTCACATTCCGTCTGTTTTAGAACCACGACACCTCTACAGGACCAATCAGAAGCGACTAGACGGTTCGACACTCGTTCCATGGGCTGTTGGTAAGCAGCTCTTGTGGGATGTAACGGTAGTTGACTCCTTAGCTCCTTGTAGGATTAATGCGGGGTCTGTTTGTAAACCTGGTACGGCTGCCGCTGAAGCGGAAGAGCGAAAAAATGACAAGTATAAAGATCTTGTAGATGATGGATATCTTTTTCAACCGCTAGCTTTTGAAATTCAGGGCGCGGCCGGCCCCAGCACAGAAATTTTTTTTTGAGCAAACTTTGTAAGAACCTAAGCATATGCACTGAGGAACCCAGAGCAGGCAGCTTTTTAAAACAGAGAATCTCCCTGGCAATACAGATTGCGAACGCCGCTTGCGTACTCGGAACAATAAATGACAAAATAACTTTTGACGAAATTTTTTATTTGTAACACTTGTATATTATATTTTCTCGTGTCTAGTTGCGTGTTCTTATTCAAGAAATGTAACCCGTATCGATTTTAATTCAAAAGGACTTAAACACTTTTATCTTTTATCATTATCACTTCCATATCTAGAAAATTCCAAGGATTTTGACTGAAATACGTGATGAAGGGACCCCTGACTGTAACCTCGGTTACTAGGATACTTTTTACCTTCTGATTACCTTCAATAAAGGTTTAAAAAAAGGTAATTAGAGCGTTCTGATCGAAGCCGGAAACAGTAACGTTTTTTTGTCGACCCGATGTTAGAAAGACCACTAAAAGAATTGGCTTTGGCAGAGACGGTGAAAAGCATGTAGAGCTGTGTTTAGACGCTAGCCATTCGTTTTAGAACCTTGCTTTATTTTCCGTCGATATGTACTTCCGGGTGAATGTTACAATTGTCGCAGGATTGATCAAAGTTATTCATGTAAATTTATGATAAAACATTAATCAATAAATTATAGTAAAGGTTTGAAATGCAGAAATTATACAACTGTGACATTATTAACCTGATTTGTTGTTATATCATGTTTCTGACAGATTTTGATTTAAAATTCATTCTGAATCAATCGAATGAAATTATTTTGGTGAGTTTTTTCTCACCAATTTTCTCTCGACTAGCTGCCCGGCTTGACTTGCATCGGAAGTGATGCGAAGCTTGTTTCCACCTCTGCGTATATATATGCATCCGTCAATAGAGACGCACCTGCTTAATTGATTTATATTCAATCACAAACAAGTTCTTTTCCCATGCATGATATTGAAGACTATTCAGTCGTTTTCGGAAAATCAGTGGTTTTCGGAAATGATGATTTTGTTTTAAAAAAATTTGTCGAGAAAACAGGGCTTAAAATTCTAGCGCGGGCGGAGAAGATTTTGAATGAAAATGAAATTTGGGTACTACTATGATAGAGTGGTCCCTCGAAAAAGCAACTATGATAGACAGGTGCCGCATGCATTTCGCATGTTATAATTTTGAAAACTGATTTGTGTATAAATTATTCATTTCAAAAATCTTGCAAAATATGTTCAGCCAAAAACTTTCCAGACTGAAAATTGTAATCACTATTGTTTATATATTGAAACAACCATATATTTGGGTTGACTTATTTGTCATCAAAACCAACTATCGGCGGTTTTTTTTTTAAATTTTCAACATTAAAATGGTGAGGGGGAGGTTTTAAGAGGTAACAAAACATAAAATTTGTTTGAAAATATACTGCGACATCTTTCTGAAAGGCGTAATCATAATTATTAAACGATTTGAGAGCTCTAGGTGTCGTATTCTCAAGGAACCTGGTTATTTTCAAGGGACCACTCTATCATAGTAGTACCGAAATTTGAATATTTTTAATGATCTTGTGAATCATTTTAAAGAAGCCTGATTGCCCACGGGAATGACCCCTCACTGATCGATTGAGATGAGTTTTCCTGTTGGATTGAATTGTTTGCAGAGGCACAAGATGCGCCATGTACATGGCACAAGTTCGTTGTATTGATTTTCCACAAAATTCCAATAAAGCCGAGTTAAGTTCTGTTTGAGGTTTGCATCGTCATTAAAATCAGTTTTTCGAGAAGGGTCCAGGATTTTTCGAGGTGGAAGGGGGTGGCGAATTTTCAAAAAATTATCGAAAATTTGACGACCTTTTTTTTAGATCGACTAAACTGATTTTCCGATGCTCCTAAAGCATTTAAAAGACCCTATTTTGGCCAAATTATGTGTGCCGCAGGCAAATTTTGGAAAAAGAACGGGTCAAATAAGCCATTTTAGGGCACGTTTTGGAAAATTCTGATAAAGAAATGCGTTTTTTTTTGGCGCGCACTCCCCCTCAAAATTAGTAAATATTGGCGCCATTAGAAAAAATTTAGGGTCGATCGGCCAAAAATGGATTTCTTAAAAATACCAAAGGGGGACCCTTTGGGTCGGCAGGGGGTCGAGAAACCTCCGTAACCCCCCCCCCCCCCCCCCCCAATCCGCCCCTGATTAAAATACTGCTAAGCTTCTAGGTTAAAAGAGAAAAAAGAGCTGACATTAAAAAAACTTGAAATAATTGCCATATTTAAGACTCAAGAGAAAGTGATTTTAAATAGTTTCAAGTAGGCGTGAAGTTAGATTACCAAATGCTTTGAATTACAAATTGATAAAGTATCTTTTGATTATTTATCGGACCGGACCGTGTTTAGCTTTTTGTACCGCATTTTTGAAGCAACGTATTATTACCAAACTAATTAAACTGCATTCTGAAGTGGTTATTTTTTCAGACTGCGTCTATGTGTTAAAGTTTTGTCACCTCTCTTTCTGAGTCAAAATTTACGTGTTGGATTGGTTATAGCTGAAAAGATTTGAAAAATTACGAGTAGATTGCTTGCCGAAGCGTTTATTGTACTAGCTTAGACGGTCGATAACCAGAAAAGAAAGGCAAAATGCCCGCCGGAAAATCAATGAATGTCAAAGTGAGCTCCATGGAGTCGGAAATGGAGTTCTCGATCACCCTAGCTACCACAGGAAAGCGACGAGCATTTAAAATAATGAAATTAGAACTAATTTACTTCCCGCTACCCACTTTTTCACCAATCAATCTAAGCTTTATTTGACTAAATCTAAGAAAAATCAAATAGAAAATTTTATTGTCGAGTTTAATATTAGTAATCTGCTAAGCAAAAAACATTAAGGTAGTTCAAATGTTGACAAATAGGTTCCGTTTTTAACATTAGGTTATGGTATTTGTGATTTATATGGATTTAAATGCTCATCAACGCTTCAGGGAAACAGCTATTCGAACAAGTAATCAAGACTATTGGTCTTCGAGAGCTTTGGTATTTCGGTCTTAGCTTCATAGACAATACGGGCCAAGAGACGTGGCTGAAACTGAACAAGAAAGTGAAAGACCAAGACCTCCCGAAAGACCTTGATAAGTTGGAATTCAACTTCAGAGCCAAATTTTACCCTGAAGACGCAACGGACGAGCTGATACAAGACATCACAGTGCATCTCTTCTTTCTTCAGGTAAGTTGATGTATTGTAAACTAATAGCTTGTACTTGTGTAACGATGAAGTCTCCGCCCATTTTTTAAAATTCAACTTCAATTTTTGCCATAACTGGTTTGTGAAGCTATTTTTTTCTTGCTATTGAGTAAATACTGTCTTCTTGTATCAAGTTTGTTAAATGAAATTGTCTTTGAATGTTTTTTTTTTCAGGTCAAAGAGGCCATTCTAAATGACAGCATTTACTGCCCACCTGAGGCAGCTGTTTTGTTGGCGTCATACGCAATGCAGGCCAAATTCGGAAACCACCAAGAGAAACACGTTGGCGACATAGAAAAAGACATCGAGCACGGGAAGGTGTTGCCGAAAAGAGTGAAGGAACTTCATCCTAATTTTTCTTCGGAGGATTGGGCCAAGAAAATCAGTGAATGGCACGCTGAACACAAAGGTATACATTTTAGCCGTGTACAATCCTGGTCAATTTGAAAGAGTGCTTGGAAAATTTAGGCTCTCAGTATGAGAAGTGAGTTTAAATGAATTTGCAAAAAATGGGGAAACAGTTGAAAAGAATGAAGATGAAATCTATTAAAAGCGACTATCCAAAGCATTTTTGGTCGGAAAAACAGGTTAGAGCAATATATGAAAGTAGTTTGTAGTTACGCTTGTTCTCTTTTTATTATACGATTGCGATTAGCAAGCGCTATCAAATTGGAGTATAGACTTTTTTCGGGTTAACATCTAGTTTAACAAAATCATGCGAACCACTTATGATGCTGCTATGCTGCTGACATGCTCAGTTTTATGAAAATTCAAATTTAACTACGAAAAAAATTAGCAACAAGAACTCCGAACGATGTTACAATTGATAAAGTGGAAAAACGAAAAAAAGGTCTTTTGAAAAGACCTTTTTTTCGTTTTTCCACTTTATCAATTGTAGCATCGTTCGGAGTTCTTGTTGCTAATTTTTGAGCTCCATGGTGCTTTCATCCTATAATTGTTGCGTCGCAAGTGGTGCGAATCGCAGCTTCGCCTCTGTGTAAGTTTGGGCTTTTGGTCATTGAATTATTTGTTCAGGAATGATTAGAGAAGACGCGATGAAAGAATATTTGAAAATTGCTCAAGACTTGGACATGTACGGAGTTAGTTACTTTTCCATCAAAAACAAAAAGGGCACTGATCTTCTACTGGGAGTGGATGCCCTAGGAATAAATGTGTACGAAAAGGACAACAAACTCACGCCCAGAATCGGGTTCCCATGGTCCGAAATCAGCAACATCTCATTCAGTGGCAGAAATTTCACAATCAAACCCTTGGACAAAAAGGCCCCTGATTTTGTACTGAGAGTTGACAAACCGAAAACTAATAAAATTATTCTGGCTATCTGCATGGGAAACCACGAGCTGTATTTGAGGAGGCGAAAGCCGGATACGATCGAAGTGCAGCAAATGAAGTCAGAGGCGAGAGCATTAACCGAAAAACGACAGGCCGACAGGGAACGTCAGGAAAGGGAAAGGAGGCAGTTGGAAATAGCCGAGCAAAGGGCACGAGAGTTGGAAGAGAAGTTGCAACAAGCGGAAATTGAGAAACAGAAGCGTGAACAAGAACTGAAGGAAAGCCAAGAAGAGAATTCGAAATTGAGAAGTCAGCTCGGAAGTGTTCAGGCGGATATTGAGAACATGGAAAGGGAGAGAGCGGAGTTGTTGGAGGAGAAAGAGAACTTAGCCCAGAAGGTCTCGGAGGGAGAAATGACGAAAGAGGAATATAACAGGTTGTTATTTTAAGTGTGAATAAATCAGTCGAAGTGAGTGCAAACCAGCCGAAAGTTTTGTCAGTTGTGTAGAAATAATCGTTGTTTTCGTATCTGTTTCTTAATTTTTCATGAATAATCTCTATTTACTGTGTGTATTTGGCTGGTTTATATTCAAGGCTGAATTGTATGCGACTAATTTTTCCTCGCTTTTCCCCCCATTTTTAACTTGCTCTCGAAACTTTAGCGCGACATGGATATTCGCATATGCTCCTATATTAACAGTATTAAAGCGTAAGATATGGAATTTTTACTTAGAAGATTTTATTTTAAAATTAGTAATGGAAGTGTAAGTTTGTTGAGGTTTGGTGTGCATGACTTGATTAGTTATCTTCAACTCTTTCTTCTTCCTTTGCTGGTCAAAGCTTGATCCGAAAACTTAAAGTTAATTGAATTATCATGCTCCCCTTTTTGTTTTTTCTTCTCGTGTTGTTTAATATCTTTTAGGTAAACAAGGGTATTGCTCACAGTATAAATCATCGGTGAATGACTTGTGCTATTGATTTACTTTTAGTTTTGTGATAGTTTGTCTGGTGAGTTTTCGAAAAACGTTGTTGTTATTTGTGGACTATTAAATAATGTTGTTCATAGGAGGATGATCGAGATTCAAGAGGAGTACAAACATGTGCAGGAGAGATTGGACAACAAGGAGCAAGAGGCAGAAACGCTAAAGGAGAGCCTCACGCTCACGAAACAAGAAAAGGAAGCCGAGCTCATCAAATACCAGGTGGGAATCAAACAATTTCATCCATTTGTAACTGCCCATTAAATTGTCTGCTAGGATGGTTTCCGTAATCTTACTAATTCGCTGCATCAGCATTTTTGAAGCCAATTATATAGCAATCGAAGTTTAATCAGCTTCAATGCCATGCTTTTGAGGTAGCTAATGCTCGTACTTTTTCATTTCAGTTACTTCGTAGTTCAGACTCTTATATAGGTCATGAACTTTTTACGTCCTTTTTTGATCTTTCGCAGCTTAACTATTTGATCTTTTTAACTTGAGTTCATTTCCTTTGTTAATAGGAATGCAAACTCCACTATCGAACAGGAAAATTGAAACAGTCAAGAAAAACGTGATCGACTTCTAATTTCGAAAGTGGATTTTAGTTTTCAGATTTCCCAGCGGAATAAAAACTTTATGATCTGATCCAGTTTTATCAAATGAGGTTAATTTCATCAATTCGTCAAAAAAGTGCCAGTCATAAATTGTTTTTGAAGTTTAAAGAGCCGTATGTTTTTTGTTTGAAATACGAAAGCTGAAGTTTTTCAAAAAAAAATTCTATTTTTTTTCGGTTAATTGCGTTCATTGACTTTTTTTAATTTGTCTGTTGGCTGAATTTTTCTGTTTCTTTGCGTTCATTGGGTCTTTATCAACTGCCTGTTGGCTATCTTCGTAATCTTACCAATTCGCTGCATCAGCATCTATTGAAGCAATTTACGATATAGCAATCAGTGTTAATCGTTTTCAATGCCTTGCATTGGTGGTAGCGAATGCTATTACATTTTCACATCAGTTTTTTGGTCATGTTATCTATTCGCTGTATCAGCATCCAATTAATCAATTTACGATGTAACAAGTGAAGTTAAATCAGCTTCAATACATTTTATAGCCTTTTTTTTTCCGTTATCCTACCAATTCAATGTATCAGCAGCGAATAAAGGGAACTTACAATATAAGTTGAAATTTAAGCTGTTTCAATGGCTCGCATTGGAGTTAGCGAGGTTTTTTTTGACTAGCATTGTTTTTTATTGCGCTTGCGTTATCAAATCGGAATATAGACTTTTTCGGGTTAACAACTAGTTAACAAAATCAGCTGAAATACTTATGATGCTGCTATGCAGATGACATGCTCTATTTCTTGAAAAGACAAATTTAATTCCTGGGTGGTTACTTGTTACTGCTGGTATATGATAAAACTAGAACTCAAACCATTGTGTGTATAATTAAAGAGTTTCGATATTAATTTTCTGCGAATGTTTTTTCGATTTCATGGTTGACGGCTTAAGCTCTGCCGGTTTAGATTTGAAATTCCAAAATCCACTTTGCACAAGGTATTTATATAACTATCGTAGATCCAATGAGGGCGGTACATGCAATTTTTTTCTATTATGATTTTTTGAGGAAAATTTTCGCTGAGTTCCATATAATCGACTGTCGACTTTATTTCAGTAGGCTTATTTACCGAATTTTTTTCTTTAAATTTCAGACAGTGTTCATGAAATAGAGCATGTCATCTGCATAGCAGCGAATGTTAGGAAAATTGAAACAGTCAAGAAAAACGTGATCGATTCTAATTTCGAAAGTGGATTTTAGTTTTCAGATTTCCCAGCGGAATAAAAACTTTATGATCTGATCCAGTTTTATCAAATGAGGTTAATTTTATCAATTCATCAAAAAAGTGCTAGTCATAAATTGTTCTTGAAGTTTAAAGAGCCGTAAGTCCATATGGTTTTTGTTTGAAATACGAAAGCTGAAGTTTTTGAAAATGAAATTCTATTTTTTTTGGTTGTTTGCGTTCATTGACTTTTTTAAATTTGTCTGTTGGCTAAAATTTTCTGTTTCCTTTTCTTTCATTGAGCCGTTTTCAACTGTCTGTTGGCTATCTTCGTAATCTCACCAATTCGCTGCATAAGCATCTATTGAAGCAATTTACGACATAGCAATCAGTGTTTTCAATGCCTTGCATTGGTGGTAGCGAATGCTATTACATTTTCACATCAGTTTTGTTGGTAATGTTATCTTTTTGCTGTATCAGCATCCAATTAATCAATTTACGATGGAACAAGTGAAGTTAAATCAGCTTCAATACATTTGATAGCCTTTTTTTTTCGTTATCCTACCAATTCAATGTATCAGCAGCGAATAAAGGGAACTTACGATATAAGTTGAAATTTAAGCTGTTTCAATGGCTCGCATTGGAGTTAGCGAGTTTTTTTTTACTAGCATCGTTTTTTTATTACGCTTGCGTTATCAAATCGGAATATAGACTTTTTCGGGTTAACAACTAGTTAACAAAATCAGCTGAAATACTTATGATGCTGCTATGCAGATGACATGCTCTATTTTTTGAAAAGACAAATTTAATTCCTGGGTGGTTACTTGTTACTGCTGGTATATGATAAAACTAGAACTCAAACCATTGTTTGTATAAATATAGAGTTTCGATATTAATTTTCTGCGAATGTTTTTTCGGCTTCATGGTTGAAGGCTTAAGCTCTGCCGATTTAGTTTTGAAATTCCACTTTGCACAAGGTATTTATATAACTATTGTAGATCCAATGAGGGCGGTACATGCAATTTTTTTCTATTATGATTTTTTGAGGAAAATTTTCGCTGAGTTTCATATAATCGACTGTCGGCTTTATTTCAGTAGGCTTATTTACCGAATTTTTTTCTTTAAATTTCAGACAGTGTTCATGAAATAGAGCATGTCATCTGCATAGCAGTGAATGTCGAAAATTGAAACAGTCAAGAAAAACGTGATCGATTCTAATTTCGAAAGTGGATTTTAGTTTTCAGATTTCCCAGCGGAATAAAAACTTTCTGATCTGATCCAGTTTTATCAATTGAGGTTAATTTCATCAATTCATCAAAAAAGTGCTAGTCATAAATTGTTCTTGAAATTTAAAGAGCCATAAGTCCATATGGTTTTGTTTGAAATACGAAAGCTGAAGTTTTTTCAAAAAAATTCTATTTTTTTTGGTTGTTTGCGTTAATTGACTTTTTTTAATTTGTCTGTTGGCTAAATGTTTCTGTTTCCTGGCGTTCATTGAGTCTTTTTCAGGTGTCTGTTGGCTATCTTCGTAATCTTACCAATTCGCTGCATAAGCATGTATTGGAGCAATTTACGATATAGCAATCGGTGTTAATCGTTTTCAATGCCTTGCATTGGTGGTAGCGAATGCTATTACATTTTCACATCAGTTTTGTTGGTAATGTTATCTTTTTGCTGTATCAGCATCCAATTAATCAATTTACGATGGAACAAGTGAAGTTAAATCAGCTTCAATACATTTGATAGCCTTTTTTTTTCGTTATCCTACCAATTCAATGTATCAGCAGCGAATAAAGGGAACTTACGATATAAGTTGAAATTTAAGCTGTTTCAATGGCTCGCATTGGAGTTAGCGAGTTTTTTTTTACTAGCATCGTTTTTTTATTACGCTTGCGTTATCAAATCGGAATATAGACTTTTTCGGGTTAACAACTAGTTAACAAAATCAGCTGAAATACTTATGATGCTGCTATGCAGATGACATGCTCTATTTTTTGAAAAGACAAATTTAATTCCTGGGTGGTTACTTGTTACTGCTGGTATATGATAAAACTAGAACTCAAACCATTGTTTGTATAAATATAGAGTTTCGATATTAATTTTCTGCGAATGTTTTTTCGGCTTCATGGTTGACGGCTTAAGCTCTGCCGATTTAGTTTTGAAATTCCAAAGTCCACTTTGCACAAGGTATTTATATAACTATCGTAGATCCAATGAGGGCGGTACATGCAATTTTTTTCTATTATGATTTTTTGAGGAAAATTTTCGCTGAGTTTCATATAATCGATTGTCGGCTTTATTTCAGTAGGCTTATTTACCGATTTTTTTTCTTTAAATTTCAGACAGTGTTCATGAAATAGAGCATGTCATCTGCATAGCAGCGAATGTCGTGATCAAGAAAAACGTGATCGATTATAATTTCGAAAGTGGATTTTAGTTTTCAGATTTCCCAGCGGAATAAAAACTTTATGATCTGATCCAGTTTTATCAAATGAGGTTAGTTTCATCAATTTATCAAAAAAGTGCTAGTCATAAATTGTTCTTGAAGTTTAAAGAGCCGTAAGTCCATATGGTTTTTGTTTGAAATACGAAAGCTGAAGTTTTTCAAAAAAAAATCTATTTTTTTTCGGTTTATTGCGTTCATTGACTTTTTTTTAATTTGTCTGTTGGCTAAAATTTTCTGTTTCCTTGCGTTCATTGAGCCTTTTTCAACTGTCTGTTGGCTATCTTCGTAATCTCACCGATTCGCTGCGTAAGCATCTATTGAAGCAATTTACGATATAGCAATCGGTGTTAATCATTTTCAATGCCTTGCATTGGTGGTAGCGAATGCTATTACATTTTCACATCAGTTTTTTGGTCATGTTTTCTATTCGCTGTATCAGCATCCAATTAATCAATTTACGATCGAACAAGTGAAGTTAAATCAGCTTCAATACATTTTATAGCCTTTTTTTCGTTATCCTACCAATTCAATGTATCAGCAGCGAATAAAGGGAACTTACGATATAATTTGAAGTTTAAGCTGTTTCAATGGCTCGCATTGGAGTTAGCGAGTGTTTTTTGACGAGCATTGTTTTTTTATAACGCTTGCGTTATCAAATCGTAAAATAGACTTTTTTGGGTTAACAACTAGTTTAACAAAATCAGCTGAAATACTTATGATGCTGCTATGCAGATGACATGCTCTATTTCATGAAAAGACAATTTTAATTCCTGGGTGGGTACTTGTTACTGCTGGTATATGATAAAACTAGAACTCAAACCCTTGTGTGTATAATTATAGAGTTTCGATACTAATTTTCTGCGAATGTTTTTTCGGCTTCATGGTTGACGGCTTAAGCTCTGCCGGTTTAGGTTTGAAATTCCGAAGTCCACTTTGCACAAGGTGTTTATATAACTATCGTAGATCCAATGAGGGCGGTACAAGCATTTTTTTCTAATATGATTTTTTGAGGAAAATTTTGGCTGAGTTTCATATAATCGACTGTCGGCTTTATTTCAGTAGGCTTATTTACCGAATTTTTTTCTTTAAATTTCAGGCAGTGTTTTCGATATTGATCAGACTCTTTCATCATTTTTTGAATGCCCATAGTCAACCCCACTAAGGCCTCTTGTGAAATCTTTAATAGATTTCAACTAATTTTGAAAAACAGATCTTGTTCGAAGTTCTGTTTGCATCATGTTGCTTTCATCCTATAATTGTGGTTTCTCAAGTGGTGCAAAGCTCAGCTTCGTCTCTGCGAAATTTATCAGTTAATTAAACTGATAAAAATGATAAATAGATAAGATTGATAAGCTTCGAGAGATTGATTATCTAAGTTTGCCTGCAGAACTGTTGACCCTTGTGATAAGCAAGTGTATTGCAATCGAGTACTAGACTTTTTTCCCGTAAACATTTATCCACAGGATCACTTCTAGAGGATCTTCACGTCTAGTTTTAAATATTATTTTAATTTTGTGGTACTAATTTTTATCAACCTAATCTGTAAAGCATGGATTTAATTTTGATTGTATTTGCTTACTATATTTGAAAATTCTATAATTTGTTATTTTACCACATCTGATTTTGAATAACTTCGACTTATTTTTCAACTAAATGGTTTCAGCTGATGTTGCATCGGCTTAGCCCACTTATATTTTGTATTTTCGTCGACAAAATCAGGTATTATGAAAATTAATGGGATGGGGTTTTTTGTTTTTACTTTTTTGAGACGCTTTCGATTTTTTTTCACATTTCAACCAAAAATTTTAGTTCATTAGAAACTACTCTACCGAAATTCGAAGAAAGCGTATCAATGAAAAGAGCGTCTACTCTCCTGTGTGCTAGCATAATCCAAGTGTCTGGTTGTACTTTATCCTACTGTCTACAGCCTTCGAAAATGTCTGGGGGGAATGTTTGACCCATATTTTTGGATTTTTTTTTGCTTTTCTCAAAAAATACTCTCAAAAATTTTTTTGGGTTCAATCGATAGAACGCGTTATAGGAAGCTTACCTGCATAGCGGCTACGCCCAAATTTTTCTTCTAAAAGTTTTGGCTCTCGGAAAAATCAATAATTGGTTTTTGTACCGTCTTTTGAAGCTATGATATTTTTCGAAAACGAAACTCTCAAATCTTGAGTTTTTGCGTTCAATCTTATTAACAGATTGTGTGAATCTTTTCTGCTCAAGCGGCTACGCCCAAATATTTTTATACAATAAGGTATGATTCGCAGAACAGTCAAATTTCGTGATTTTTTGATTATTTTTTGTCTTGAAAACTACCCCGCCAATTTTTAGGTTAAGTTTTCAAGTTCAAACGCGAAACCCGGTTTTTTCCACAGGATCACTTCTAGAGGTTCTGCACTTCTAGTTTTAAATATCTTTTTTATTATTTGGTTCTAATTTTTATCAACCTAATTTGTAAAGCATGGATTTTGTTTTGATTGTATTGTTTAAGCGGCCACGACCCGACCTTCACATTGTAGAAAAAAAAGTGATAGATTTAAGAAAGTGTTTGAACTTCTGACCGTTTTTTAGGAAATTTTTTATTTTCGTCGAAACTATTCTATCAAATTTGAGATAAAGGGTTCAATCGAGAGAACTGGTTGCGAGAAATTTTCCTACAGAAGCGGCGACTCCGTTTTTATGAGGAATATTTTATGTATTTGGGAAAATAGCAATTTCTTCAAAAAATTTTAATTCTTATTTATTTTAGTAGAGAAGCAACTAAGGTTTCGGGCAAAGTCCAGTTTTTTAAATAATAAATTTCATCCAGCATGAATAAAACAAATTCCAAAAATCTCAAACAGCTACCTCTAAGTTTTACTTGGCCCCTAGTCTTCTTGTATTGAGTAAACGAACGTTTTGGTTTCTTTAGTTTTTTTCTTCAACATTTTTTTCCACTTAATTTGTGTTGTTATTTTTGTTGTATCGCAAGTGGTGCGAAGCTCTGCTTCGCCTCTGTGTTTTATTAGTTCAGTTAGCTAGTTCTCTTGGGTTCATTAAAAATTCTAACTGCTTTTTGGCTACGTTTTAGTTTGTGCGTATGTTCCAAATGTCGTTTCATCAAAATGGAAATAATTTTGTGAGCGCTTCTCGAATTTGATATAATATTTAAGCTTGCGATGAGTGAGAGCTATTAAATTTGCGCCCAGATTTATGAAAACGTTGCGCGAAATAGGACTCCACCAGGCTGGGGCGGAAATTCGAAATTTTAAAACGTATCAGTAACTTTTGTAGTATGCTTGCTAATGTTGGTTTGATGATTCTTAATGCTCAACTTTTATTACTTTCGCTTGAGTGTGTTAAGGTGTGTTGCTGCTCCGCATATATATGCAGACTGTTAGCCAAGAAAAGTAAGATTGTTTTGTGATTCAATTAAGCGTGGTCGGTCGATTTTAAAAGCAAACTGAGTTTGAAACACCTCATGAATGTAAGCTCAGTTGATTCTATTTTGTAGAAGAGGGGTATGCTTTTTATGTATCGCGTGCTATAACATGCAGCAATATGAATATGTTATGTTGTAGTTTCCAATGCCTTGATCTTAGAGTGAATCTGGGATCAACTAAAAAGTTGTTAATCGATTCAACTAACTATCATCGTTTGATGCTTTGATTGTGACGGAGTTTCCTTTGTATTTGAAACATTTTAAAGAAAACTTATAAAATTTAAATTGAAGCTAGCTGAGAGTAATAATGACCGGTTTCTAAAAAACGAATCGATAGAAGTAACGCCTCTGTTATCTTCTGTTTAATCCTTGGTAACGCTGGTTTGATCCTGCCGCAATGCCAAGACGACGGTAATGCAATCGGCTTTTTGCTTTAAAAACCGCTCTACTCAGACAACTGCTAAATTTAAGTATTTACTAAGGTCGATGAACGTAGTGATTATTTTTTCCCGGGAAAAGTCTTAGAATTTGTTCACACTTCGTTTCAGTCCACACATTGTTCACACATTTTGTTGGTCTCTGGTTCTGTAAAGTTATTTAAATATACAGTAAAAATTGGAAAAAAACGTCTTTCAGAAATTTTTGTAGTAATGGTTTTACATTTAAGAGTAATGAATGTAGTGAAGACTCTTATATAGGTCTTGCTGATTTTTTTCTTGCTGACTATAGGTCTTGCTGACTTCAAGAAAAAGTCTTAAAGTTTGTTCACGCTCAATTTTGATTTTTCGCAGTTTGACTTGTGGTTTCGTTTTAATTTCAGTGCATTTCTATTGTTAAAAGGAAGGCAAACTCTACTATCGAACGGCAAAATTGTTAAGGTCACGAAAAACGAGATCGACTTCTAATTTCGAAAATGGAGATTAATTATCAGATTTCCCAGCGAAATAAAAGTTTTAATTATTGATCCAGTTTTCTCAAATTGGGTTAATTGTAACGAAAAGTGTACATCATAAATTGTTCTACAAATTCGAAGAGCTTTCGGGGCTGCTATTTTTTCCTTGAATTACAAAAATTGAGTTAAAAAAAACAAGTCAGTATTTTTATCTGTTAACTTGCTTGCATTGACTCTATTCCACTGTCTGTTGGCTATGATTTGACGCGGTTTTTACATGCACAACTGAGTAAAAAATTTAATTCAGATGTCTAAGTAAGCAGTTTTACAAGGTTAATTAACAGGTTTCAGATTCGTTGAACAAAAAGGATACTGTCTACATTTTATCTTTTTATAATTACATCTGTTTTTTTTTGCTAGGAGGAGATGGAAAGGAAGCTAATGGAGGAAGAGGAAAGGAAACTAGCTTTAGAACAGCAGGCGTCCCAGTTTGCGGACGAGAACAGGAAGCTGCAGGTGCAAGCGCAACTGGCAGAACAGCTGAGGAAGCAACAGCTGGAAGACGCTCAGGCCAACCAGCAACAGTTTAACTACTCAAGGCCAACGTCAACTGTCAGCAACTCAGGCTAGTGCACCTCCCCTGCCCTTATTCATATTTGTTCATTTTTTGTTCAACCAATTTTTTTCTTTCACTTGGTTGACTGTGACAGACAGGTTATTGAAGATCAGCGATCTTGTATCCTGTCTACTCCGAGCCTAATACATTATTTATAGTTGCGATAAGCAAAGTTTTTTCGTTACAACCTTTGTTTAGAGAATGGCTAAAATAAGAAATTTCACATTTACTGAGGTGCGCTCATGGATAGTACTGCCTTTGTAAGTGAAACATGCCAGTTGTTTTGATATATACGTAAGCATTTTTGAAATTTGAGCCTTATTCTTTGCCAAAAATGTTTGTTAGATTTTCGGCTTTTTGCTTGTCGGTTTAATTCTCGGCTTTTATATGTTTCTATGGCCCATTACGGGTTACATTATCTGAGATTCTCGAAAGCTCAAAATTAATGTCACAGACTGTTGAAAAATTAAACCTGGAAAGCTCTCGTTTCTTTTGTAACTTTGGTCTAAACCTTTGCTACTACTCGTTGACCGATATGGTCTATTTATCAATACACACTTTGTACAAGTAATTGATTTTTTCCATTGCTTTCTAGTCCATACTGTTTGGAACGGTAGCTGTTTTAAATGATAGACTGAAATTTGGCACACCGGATATGCTATTAAATCAGAAAGTCTACTTTTATCATCAATTTTTTTTATTGTTTTTGCTCAAAATTTCGAGTATAGCTTTGAAGTGACAACTTAAGTTGTTGTTTATCGCTATTTTTTCTTGTACGCTTGTTTGTTTTCCTTTCGTCTTGCATCATCTAGTTACAAAATCCAATATTAAAATTTAAGGAACGTAGTTTAGACTCTTATATAGTTCGTGATGATTTAATGTTTTTTTTTATAGGAAAAGTCATTAAATTTGTTCACGCTCAAATTTGATTTTTGGCGGTTTGAGTTTTTCTGTTTACGAAGGCAAGGCAAAGTTAAAAGGAAGGCAAAGTTTGTTTGTTTTAAGTTACTGTAAATGGTAGATTGAGGACAAGAGCCAGAAAATTTTTTTGCTTAAGGGGTTAGTAAATGCGATTTACTTTAAATTAATTAAAAAGTGTTACTGGCCGTAGTGAAGGAGTTTTTCTCGAAAGTTCATCTTTCTTTTTTGGAAACTTGATTTCTTGAAATTATACTTGTAATCTTAGCGATTAAGTCTTATTGTTTTTTATAAACAGGAGTATGTGAACGCATTTTTAAATGCTCTACTGTGTGCTTTTTTTCCCATAACCAAATAAAAACCTAAGAGGTGTAATAAATACATGTGAGTCCATTGGTATTGTTTTAGAGTAACAATGATAAAAATGGATGTTAAATCAACGCTTTTATGTTCGCTGAGTCTTTTTTTCAGTTCTATGTATTGCGTTTTTGGAACAGGTTGATAGCACAATGTTCCTAATCAGTCGTGCCCTTGTACACGGCCTCTAGTATATTTGTGATATATATCAATAGCGGATTTAGGGGTGACCGCGGGAATTCAACCCCTTGACCACCCAAAGAATCCCCACATTGGGTATATTTTTGGAGATCCATTTTTCGCTAAATTAACCTTTAATCTATCTAAAAGCGTCTCCAACGTCAATATATACTGAGTTTGAGGGTGAAGCGCGCCGAAAAACACGATTTGTATATCAAAACATTTTTTTGCCCATTTTCAAATCTGCCCGTTTGTTTAGCCCATTTTTTTTTAAATTTGCCTGCGCCGCAAAACGTTTGCTCTCACAAAGAATAATCCACCCCCCCCCCCTCGAAAAAATTCTAGATCAGCTGATCTATACAATGGTTTTGAACAAGGGTTTGACACTAAAAGCCTCATTACAAAAGCTATTAAGCTTGAGATTTGTCGTTCACAAGCGAAAAGTACCTAAAAGAAAGGTGGCATTAAATCATTTTTATGCTCGCTGCTTGTTTTGTAAATTTCTATATATGAAAAATATTATTTATTTTCTGTTATTTGTAGGTGATGCAAACAACCATCATCAGGCGGAGGACCACATTGAGGATGAGAACGAAGTGGCAACTTTTTCTTCGGAGGGAGTGAGCAACATGGACTCAGAGCTCAACAGGGTTACCGCTGTCGCACAAGACAAGGTACGAAATATCATTTCTGCTTCAAAGTTAGTAACTGAATGTAACATAGACAAAAATATAAGCTCGCTATTCAAGAGTTTCTCATTTTGCCCTTGCGATTAGAAATGGTATTGCAATCGGGTACTAAGTTTTTTTCCGCGTAAATAACTTTGTTCAAAGGACCCATCTCTACTCCTGTGGTACCTTGCTTCATAATGAATTCAAGTTTATTAGTGTCTCCGGCACACTTAGCCTGGAGGTAACGAATACACCTGGGACGGCTGAGCTCCGGGGTTTGAATCTGACCAGGACTTGTTTTTTTTTCAAACGGAAAGTATTAAATAAAATTGTCGGTCTAATATTTTTTCATAGTTTTGCCAACTCGATATAGTATTTTTTGAAAAAATTTTTAATCGACTTAACTAGTTTCGTCTGATTTTATATCGACTTAATGGCCTCTTACTGCGTCTTTTGATGTCCGAAAAAAGTTTTTGTTAGCGTGTGTATTCTGATGGGAAGGGGGACTTAAAAATTTGTTATTTGTTAAGAATTTTTTTCGGCATCAAGAGTTTCTGCTCAGGTATTTTTGATTTTGTTCCGATGCTAGTTTTGTATTCTATCGTCTGGGCATGTTTTTTTGAAAACTATCGTCTTTCATTCTGTTAGATTTAGTTGTATGTATAGTTACGATTGCGATTAACAAGCTTAATCAAATCAGAATATAGACTTTTTACGGGTTAACAAACAAATTTAACAACATCACTGAATCATTTGTTCGGTTAGAAATTGTGCTGCATTGATAACTGCGGCAAGCTTGCTCAATTTCGTGAAAATTCAAAATTAACTACTGGTTACGAAAATAGTAGACGGCTGAGGCCCTAGCTCGAAACAGGTCAGCACCTATTTTTTTAAGCCCAAATTATTCAGTACAAAAAAAATCATTGGCCTTATCAACTCATTTTGTCTTTCACGAGCAAAAAAAATTGTATGTGCGTGTGTGTTTTGAGGGTAAGAGGGACTTAAACCTTTTATTAAAGTTAAATTTTTTCCTGCTTTTCGGCTTATTTGGTTCCGGCCTTTATTATATAGGCTTAGTGGCCTCATATTGTTTCATTTGGCGACTAAATAAAATTTTGAGTGACTTATTAAGTTGTTAAAAGTCTTATGTCTTGTTGATTTTTTTTCGGGTTAAAGGATTTCTGCTTCGGCTTTGTTACCGCTTGGTAAATTTTCCTCCGATGCTTATTTCACATTCTATTTTCTTGGCATGGTTTTGTATCAAAACCAGCCTTTTTCATTTTGATAGATTAGTTATTTCGACCATTTCGGAAATTTTTTTGCCTCTGTTGCATAAAAGGTCGGTATTACTTTTTTGCTGATGTTTTTATGGCTGTCGATTAAGCTCTCGGTTTTTTTCCGAATTGTGTGAACCATTTTGCAGTCAGTACATATATATTTTTCGTGGATACTATTTGGACAGTACATGTTTCTCTTCCATAATGACTTTCTGTGCATGTGCGTGTTTTTGGCTACTTAAAATTTTGACTCTTGTTTCCTCAAATTGGGTTAGTTAATCAAAAAGTGTCTATGATAGAAGATTAATGAATTTCAAATAGCTTTCAGGCGATACCTTTTTTCTTGAAAATAATCTATCTTTAATATATTTAAATGCGACTGCCTATCTCTCTATGTGTAAGCTATGCCATATGTCTCATGCTTAAGCTTTGAGAAATGAACGAAGTTTTGCACGTTTAAGCTATATCGTATATTGCAGTTCTTAAAGTATTCAGACCAAGGCAGGGCGAGGAGCAGCAGGGTAGGGTAGGGTGAGGAGCTGCAAGGCAGGTTAAGGCGAGAACCAACAAGGCAGGGCAGGGCGAGGAGCAGCAAGGCAGGGCAGGGCGAGGAGCAGCAAGGCAGGGCAGAGCGAGAAGCAGCAAGACAGGGCAGGGCGAGGAGTCGCCAGGCAGGATAGGGCAGCGCATGGCAGGGTTGAACAGCGCAAGGCAAGGGTACGCATGCGACAAGTGGCAAGGCGGGGTAGGGCTCAGTAGGGTCAGTGCTGGTTACGACAATGCCGGTTACAGCAGCGCAAGGCAGTGTGAGGAGGGGCAAGGCAGGGTGGTGCAGCGCAAGACGGCATGGTACAGCCAGACAGGTCATGGCGAGGAGGTGCAAGGCACGGTAGGGTAGTGCTAGGCAGGGCATCCATCTATCAAGCCATCTCCCATCCCTTCATCTATCATCTAGCCACTCATTCATCCAGCCAACTACCTATACATCCATCAAACCGTTCGTTCATCCAGTCGTTTATCCAACCATCCATGTATTAAACCATCCATTCATCCATCCACCCATCTAACTAGCAATCCATTCAGCTGTCCATCGCCCATCAGTGCAACCAGCCTGCTTTCCATCAATCGCCCAGTCATCGGTTTTTCCAGCCAGCCATGCATCCATTCATCCTTCCATCCATCAAATCAGCCATCCATACATCAAAATATCATCTGTCCATGCAACTTCCAATCCATCGAGCCACTACACATCTAGCCACCCATCTTTCATCCATGCAACCAGCCATCCATCTATTCAATTATCCATCGATCCAACCAGTCATCCATCCGTTTCGCCAGCAAGCCATCGGTCCATCCATCTACCCATCCATCGATCCAAGCATCAATTCAGTCTATTATGCATCCACCTTTCCGTCCACCCATCCATCGTTTTATCCAGCTATTGATAAGGCCATCCCTCAATCTAGCCATCAATCCACCCATTTATCCAGCCAGCCATACATCCTTCCAGCCATCCATTCATCATTCAGGCGTCCAATCCATTATGGATATTTGCTGTCCTTTTTCAGAATCAGCTTTTGCTACAGAAGGCTGCTAACAGTTTTTAAAACAATCAGGTTTTTTTAATCAATGACACGGTCTGTTAGCTATATTCGTTGCTTTCTGTGCTACTTGCTTAGCTACCGGTTACTTCTGTTTTTTGAATTGGGGTTCGTCTTAATAAAATGATTCGGAGCATTTTTCGTTCCTTTCAACTTCTACTGCCGATTTTTTGGTTTCTCTAAGTTTGACAGTCAGTCCAATCAAAAATATTACTGATTAAGACGCTTCTAAATCAAATTAGAATGCGGCTTATTGTCAAAGTACATTTCAATCAAAAAACCGTCTCGCATTCAATTAATCCAGCTGTTATGTTTAAGTGGCACCTAACAAAGCCGCTGGCCTTCTGATCTAAATCATCTGACATGGTGCTATTAAACTTAAAACTTGCTGGCATAAATTATCAATTTGCTCCAGTTATTTGATGAATATTGTATTATTTGTCTGATACAAAATTAGAAAATGAAATGAAATTGAAAAAATGTAGGTACTATTACTATTTGCATCTGTATTCAGTGACACTTTAATTTTTGTTTGGCTGATCGCGTGACAAGAATTTTTGATACTTGGTCTTTTTTACTTTGACGAAAGTCATTTTCAGTCACGCATCGTCGTATAGACGATGATTGTGTTGAACAGAATTTGACCAGAATTGTATCGAAGGGATTTTATTGTCCATTTTAAAGTCAAATTGTGTATATTATTACAAAAACTAAGAAAAACATTTAAGAAGACCAAATAAGTAAGTTTAAGATAATTCGGAACAGTTTTAGTGCAATTATGCAGTTATAGTCATAAAATATTTTTGAAATGAATGTAAATCAATTTTTTAGAACCATGTCGCCAAGTTGACAGCCTTTTTTTAAATGTTGGCAAAATAAACGCTAGAGCTGTTTTTAGAAAGTAAATCTACGTTTGTTGTATTACTTAAAAATTCATATATGAATCAACAGTATTATAATGAATGCTTCTGAAGCATAATTCGGATTCAGATGCAAAAAAATGATGCAAGTTATTCCGAATAGAAATCCGTGATGTAGAATAATTAAAATGATTATTTAGGAGATGATCTACAGTTAGTGTGAAAAATTGACTGTGCACTCTCAAATTGAACTTATGGAGGCAGTTATAGTTTAAATCTTTGGTACAAAGTGTCGACCGGGTCACCGTCACTGCTGAAAAGTAACGGTGTGACGAAGAATGGTCAAATTGTGAACCTAGTTGCAAAAAAAGACCCCGTAGGGGGATGGATGGCGGATTTGGTAATAATTTATCCGTTTGTTTGTTCAGAGTCTGAACACTAAGCTGAAGGAACTGTCGAATGACCTGAACTCAGTGCGGGAACAGAAGCAGTTGTCTGACAACGACAAGATCCACCAGGACAACGTGAAGAAAGGACGGGACAAGTATAAGACACTCAACCTCATCCGAAAGGGAAACACGAAGAGCAGAGTGAACGAATTCGAGGCCATGTGAATCAGCATCAGGAAGCAGCATCATAACCATAATGAAAAAAAAAACATGTGAACAACACGTGAAAAACAGAACAAATTACAAGACATACACTTGATGATATTAATAATAACCTAATCTTATACAGATAAAAGGATATTGACTAATGACTAAAGCAAAATTACGATAGAAACACACAAAACATGAAGATAATTGTTAGATTTTTCCCTGTAACCTGGTGATGCTAAATCTCGAGGTTCGATTGATACTTGACAAATTTTTTGTTACAATGGGCGGCCAAGTTTTGATCAAGGCTTTTAAATTTCACCTATGCGTTTTTTGAGGAGGGAAAAATCGTGAAAAAATATGTTTCTATCGTTCAAAACACGACGTGTTATCATATACCGTTTGGTTTGTCGTGAGTGTTTTTTGTGCGATTCCGATTTGATTTGATAGTCTAACACGAACTAACTAATTTCTTCTTTTGCGCTGTGATTAATTATTCGATCCTATCTATTCTCTTCGCTTTTGTTACTATATCTCCTTGGAAAGTCTTATTGTGATAAAGGTTTTCGTGAAATCAACATTTGGAAAATTTGAATAATATCTATTTCTACTTTCTTGAATCAAACTTTTCTTTGTCAGAAGAAATTCTTTTTTTAGCTGAAATTCTGAAACCTGTTGTATCATGTCAGGAAGTGGAATAATTGCGTGTGTGAAATTTGAACATCTCACAACAAGTAATTGTATTATCTATCAATCGATGCCTGTGCTATCAGTTGTTTAAAACAGACCCATTTTGGCGCTCTTTGAATACAATGGTCCTACATGAGCAACCAAAACTCCATCCATGTGATCGACTCATCTTAATTGAAATCATTAGTTGTTCATTTTAGCCTCAAAACAAGAAGGCGAAATATGATTGACGCGACAATTCAAACTTAAATATACAATTTTTTGTAATGCGTTCGCTCCGTGCAGAAAAAATATTCCAAAACAGAAGTATTCGAAAAACATACTGAAATTTTGGTTCGAGAAAGAACTGCTTTTTGGAACTTAAATAAAACTTAACATCGATCTTCAACTACTTGTTAAATCTTTAATTGAATTTTGTCGCGTCAAGTATGCCTGGTTTGGCCTTAAAACCAAAATGACCTTAATAACATCTGACCTCGATCACCAAACCATACGATTTACCACACCTACTATACAAAAGAACCCATTAAATATCCGAATAAATTATTTGCTACTTTACATGTAATGAGTGGGTGGTCTTTGCTAGAAAACATAGTTGATTGAATTAAATTTTACATGCGATTTGAATGGCCTTAGTGTAAAACGAAAGATGGTAAATGTTGGTGACGCTTCAGTTAATCATAGTAGCTTCTCTACTCGTCTATTTTTGTCTCAGAATTTCTATCTTTTTGATACTATTTCCAATGCCGCTATTTCCACTCTTTTAAAATATTTTATTGCTACAAATATAGAACAAAGATAGGTTGTAATTCATCTGCAGCGTGAATAAAATGCATCTGGTATGAACGTTTGTTCCAAATCTGTTCAAACATGATTCAATCGGTCTGACCTGCTACGATAGAATCTAGTTCATCTTAAAATTGAATTGAATATTTTCAAATAGTGGTTTGTTTACAGAACCCGTTCAACTGTCGTTCACAAAGTTTACAATTAGACCGGTCTCTTTATTTTTTAAAACATCAAGTATCTTACTGCATAGCTCATCAACTTGAAGATTTTCATTTTTTGCAGACCTCGAGAATAACATTAACATGACATGAACACCAAAATTTCATTTGCTTCAATCGAGGCTAAACATTAGATGACTTATTTGCTCATAACTGAAAATCTTGATGCTAATCTTAGACATCGGATTAGAAAATGAAAGACAGAAACTAAGAAGTATGCAAATCGTAGGTTGGATCGAATTGGTTCATGTTGGTATTGATAATAAATATTACGAATGATCAAACCAACTTGGTATGTTGTCACGAGTAAGATTTATTCTGAGTAATTGCGAACCTTTTGGAAAAATAAATTTCTCGATGAATTGTTCAGCGGAGTTTCATGCATTGCATTGTTAATCTTGTCCATTTTAGTCATCAATATAGCGATAAATAATCTGAAAAATCTGACGTTTAATAGTTTGAAAACTCACCATTATAAGTTTATACGACTATTGAAAAGTACATAAATTTAGGAATTGAGTTCTGATTAATTTCACTTGACGCAAATGTGTTAGTTACCAATCAAACCTTCAGTTAGGTGCAAATGTGTTATTTTTACTGAATCCAATCCAAACGTATCCTAAGCCAAATGCCCTCCTAGCATATCCCCAGGCAGTGCTGTTTCCATTCTTACCCTTTTGTGGCCTTCTATTCCATTAATATATCATTACCAGTTTATAATGCTATGATAACTTATTAACTAATAAGTTTCGGTATTTTTGGTTATTTTCAGTTCTGCCCTTTTTTGAAGCACATTTTGATAAATTGACCCAATCAGTTTGCGAATTGGACGAAATGTTTTTGAGTTTAACTAGTGTATAAATTTTTGAGACAACACAAGAGTTTCTGATCTAGATTTATATATCCAAGAACAAAGTACAAAGAACGCTTGTGAATTGTCTTAAAGTTCTGACTTTAATGTGTAATTAGTTTCTACAGTTAACCGTTGAAATGTAGAGTGAAATGCTCAAATTTGGTGTTAAGAGTTCGATTTATTATTGATAATTTACAGTTTGTATTCTAAATTTTTTATAACCGAAGTCAAATTTTTAGGAAACATGTAGTTCTGTTAAAGTGTTTGAAGAGAGCGCAGAAAAATGAGGGTAAAAATCACATAACGCATTTTCTTGCATTTTATTACGCCATACATGATTGAGCGGATTATCAGATTAAAGACTTCTCGGTCGTGGTCCGATCGATATTTTGAAAAATCCAAAAATTTGTCGAAAATTTTCCCTTTTTATGCCATAATAATAGATCATGCCGTAAGATAAAAACATCTATATTTTTTCTAGGCTAGTTTTCAGTCCTTCCTACATGTACATAAACAACAAAAATTTGATGAACAAATTCAACAAAATGATTTTTCATTTTTTTTTTGAAAATTTAGATTGAAACTGTTTGTGCTACTTGCACAGCAACCGGCTACTTTTGTTTGCGTATTCGATTAGTAAAAAATTACCATTTTTGGCTGTGATTTTTTCTGAATATTTAAATGCTACCCATTGACATTCGCTGGGATTTCTGGCTTCGAAAATAGTTGATTTTTTATACTTTCCTTGCGTCGACCAAAAATTTTTTGAGCTCTCCTAAAAACACTATAAAGAGCTTTTTTGCTTAAAATATCTTCAGGCGAGTTGTGAAAACAATAGGTCAATAAATTTTTTCGGCAAAACTACTTCTAAAAAACAATGCTAATATTTCAACAATTTTAAGTGGTATTGAGAATAATGAATAAATTAGCAGCGCTCTCCAATGCAATGCATCAACAGAAAATTACTTTTTAAAAATGAATTTAGCGAAGTCTGCCCGGTTGTTTAATTAGAATAGCGAATGGCAGAAAATTAGCATAAACTTAACGGTACACATGTAGAAACCTTTTTTTGGATTTTTGTTGGATGATACATCTGTTCGTTTTTAAATGTTGACGGTGAAATTTTTATCAAGCTTGTGATGTTAAGTTGTTTTATCCCAATAATTGGTAGGTAAATCTGACTTCGGGCTTGCTATCCTGAACCGATATTTGATTGTGTTCAATGTCATTTTGATAGCATTCATCCAGGGGTGAATCTAGGATTTTCTCGAGAGGGGGGGGGCGGATGTTCAAAAAACTTTCAATTTCAAAAAACTTTCAATTTTTTAGCTTAGGTCGAACAAATTGATTTTCCGAGATCTCCCAAGGCACTAAAAAAGACCCTATTTTAGTCAAATTTTCTGCGCCGCAGTCAAAAATTTGAAAAACAGCAGGCCAAAAAAATCGTGTTTTTTTGGCGCGCGCTCCTCCCTCAAAAAATTGTATTTATTAGCGCCAAAGGCGCCTTTGGAAAAATTTTAGGGTACCTCGCCAAAAATATATATCTCAAAAATGTACAAAAGGGGACCCGCTGCTGTACTAACTAGATTCTTCTCAAGCAAATCTTTGATTTTTAATTTGCCGCTTATTTTTGTGTCTTGTCCAATTTTAATCGTAATAGCTTTCCTTACTCTGTCTGTGAAATCAATCATATAAAGTAAACAATAAAACAGGTCTTTTTACTGAACCCTGACCACTCCGCACTTCAGTTTTTTAACACTGGAATTTTGCTTGTCAAATACAGCGAATTGTTTTCCAAAAGAAAAATATTGTTTGAATAATTCATGCATTTTACCTCTTGAGCCGTATTTGTAACATTTTTGCAGTATAACTGAAAACTTTTGATAAATCTTAAAAAATGTTATGCGTTGGCGCTTGTTAATGTTTGCATTCTATAAAATTTTCAAACTTTTCATTTATTGCATTATTCGTAGACCTTTTATTTTAATATCCAAAGTTTGACGACTAATTTTTTGTACAGAATTTAGCAAACTTTTGAATAGTTTCGTTTCAAAACTTCCGTCCAGAGTTTATAGAAGTGAAATAGGACGGTAATTGAAGCGAATTGCTTCACTGCCTCCCTTATGAATAGGGATAAATTCATTAAACATCAAGATAATCAGTAACACTAATTTCACTAACCTCAACTGCTTAATTAAAATTAGCAAAGTTGAAATTGCTTGTGATTTTTGTTTTACCATGTTCTCTTGTAAAAGCAGTCGCAATTGATGTAAAATTTACACTCAGCAGGTCTAATTTTTCCATCAGTTCTTCGCCTTGCACTGTGCTAGCGTTGATATCAATTTTGAAGTCACCGCTAAATAATTGTTGCCTCAATATCAAATAAAGAGCCATAATAATGTCCTTAATTATATCCTCAAACTTTCGAGTTGGCGGTTTTTAATTGTTTAGTTTTATGCCAAATTGTGTTTTTGGTTTTCGGCAATTGAAGTTTCTTTTTTATCAATTTTGTTTCATTTTTACAATGAGTTTCTACACTTTCTCCTTTTCCTCTACTTCCGTTCAAATGGCAACAAGAGTTGCATTTATGATTTCAAAAAATTGAAAAAATATAGGACATCCAACTCCTCGCAGCAATTTGTGGTTGTCACATGACAGCTACCGAAAAAAAAAACGAGAAATAATTTGCCAGAATCTGATAAGAAATGCTCCGAAAATTGTTTCAAATAGCAGTCAATTATCATAATAACTTGCTTACAAGGCGTTTAGATAGCTTATTTGTTTCATTACTAACAAATTTTTTAGCTAATAATTTAAATCGTTTGGTGCAAACAAACCCTCCGTGCTCTGGTTGATGGACCTCAGGGCTTCGATTTTGACCAGGATCTATTTTTTCTGCGAATTGAAGTTTTCCGCTTAAGAAGTATATGTAGTACTATCTTTTGGTTACCTGTCATTTTGCCCCAAGTCAACTTGTCCCAGCCCAACTTGTCCGATTCCAACTTGCCCCAGATGACAACTTGTCCAATGCCATCTTGTCCCATATAATAAAAAATGAAACTTGCCCCAGATTCTTTGATATCCTCGTAGAACATAATGTCGGCATAAAAATGTTGAATAATTAAGCTTAAAACAAAATGCGGAATCATTTAAACATGCGCTGAATCAAAATGAGTTCAAAGCATGCATGAACAAAATGAAAGCGGCAAAATTTCAATGCAATTTTCATGTCGAGTTAAATATTTCAAAAGGTTCATTGCTGATTTTGTAAGCTTCTATAGCATAGTTAATAGTGCTCAACACTCTTAATCAAGAAGTCAAAAGATCAAAACTTGAAGTCAAAAAATTTTAGTATGAAATCGATGAAATGGAAAACTGCAGGTACTGCCTCGCCCCTTAAACCCCCCTACACTTGGTAACCCAGAATAGGGGGCGGAGTGAGGGAAAGAGCAAAATTATTGCAGTATTGGCCTTTATCATCTCTCAAAATTTGGACCCTGTACGATAGCGGTGATTTTTTAAGTGGTGATTTTTTAAAAATCAATTAAAAATTCAACAAAATGCCGACAATTAAGTGGAAATTATGCAGACAATTTAAAAATTACGAAAGAGTTAAATGCGCTAGTGCATAAAATAGTCAACAACAAGGTCTTTGTTGAAATTACTAGAAGTGTTTTGGATTTTTTCATGAATGTCCCGATATTTCTCCCTAAATATATGGGTGGCTCCCTTGAAATAATGCTGTCACTCCAAGATGCCAACCTTCAACGGCGTTTGTCGTTCGTATCAAGCCTTCCGCTGCTTCTTGGGAATGGTTCCAGAGACTCATAGGGAATAACGGTTGCCTGCTGTTCCGCCCTATTGTTTCGCCCTTTATATAATTTCTCTGAAAGTATGAGGCAA